CCTAACAGAATTCCGAGATAGGGAATAGTTCTGTAATGTCATTTAAGACTTGCACGTACAATTTGGTGATATTCCGAGTAGTTTAAGTACGTTTCGGCGCATTGGAAGTAAATTGAAGAACTTGAAGTTCTTAAGTTTGATTCAATTGGCTTTGGGGTGCGATTCATAGTTTTAATGTTGGTTCGGGCATTCCGAGAGTTCGATCTAGTCTGTTTTATGATTCCAAACTTGTTGGTAAGTTCGAGTGCGGCCCCGGGGGCCCCGAGTGTTAATTGGACGAGGCTTGGACCAAGATGAGAATTTGGAGCACCAGTTGATGCACCAGATCTGTCAAAACCCCACCTATGCTTGGTCATCCACAGGTGCGAGCTCGCAAGTGCGGGCCAAGCCTCGCAGAAGCGGCCAAAGGATGGCAGCAGCAAAAGCGGGTACCCGTCCGCAGAAGCGATCCCAGCCGGCCCAATGAGTTACTCTGAAGCGGACCCTTGTCCGCAGAAGCGAGGGCGCAAGTTCGGCCCTATGACCGCAGGTGCGGAAATAGCTGGTGGCAGTGAACCTCATTTATTACGGGTTAGGACTATATTTATGACATTTTTCTTCCACTCTTATGCGATTTGAGAGCTTCTAAGGAGGGAACTAGCCTTGTGAGGTAAGTAATTTCTTTTAAAAATGAGTGTAATACATATATTATGGTTAGATTTCCACATGAAAATGGGTAGTAATCATGGGTTGAGATGCAAAACCTAGGGTTTAATAAAAATGCGATTTTACCACGAAAATACTTATTAAAATTAGTGAAAATCATTTATTATGTTCCTAAGGTTATGGGTAATAACTTTCTTTAAATATTTCCTTAATCCGGGCGTTTGGGCCCGGGGGGTGAATTTTAGGAATTTTGAAATTTTGGTTGGGTAATCACTTTAATAGTGAAGATATGAACTTTTGAGCATAGATTGATCGATTTATATAATGTTTGGCTAGTTCCGAGTCGTTTGGCATCAAATTTGGACGTTTGAGCGTATTCTTGAATTGGGAAGTAAGTTGTGAGATGAGGTAAGTCACTTTTCTAACCTTGTAAGAGGGAACTTACCCCATAGGTTAACTTAATTAATATGTGTTGTTAATTGTGGGGGGCTACGTACGCACGAAGTGACGAGAGTCCATACGTAGCTACTATTCCTGTTTATGTCTAGGTAGTTTTAGGTTTACACCATGCTTGTGGACACGAATTGTCTTTATTTTGAAAAGAATCAAGAAAGGGTTATGATTTATTGATAAATTTATATTTGATCGTGTCGCATGTATGATTCGCGAGCGGGGTATTAGATACATCTATGGTTCGCGCCGTTCGACCCTCGACAGTGCACAATTTACAATTATGTTGGATCGGGCCGAACGTCCTCGGTGGTATTAGTGTGTGATAATAGAACTGGAAGTTCCTTTCATAATCGGTATAAATTTATTGTTTGTGTGATCATATATTTTAAAGGAATGAAGTGATTCAAGCTCTTAAATATTTCTGAAGACTTGTTCGGTTATTTCTTGTTCTGAGTCTTATTGATGTATATCATGCTTAATTAGAATTTCATATTATCATGTTATTGGCCCTGGTAAGTGTTGGAGTCGACCCCTCATCACTACTTCTTCGAGGTTAGGCTAGATACTTACTGGGTACATATTATTTATGTACTCACGCTATACTTATGTACTTAATTGTACAGGATCTGAGGCAGGTGCACCTGGTTACCAGTCTGGTGCGTAGATTTGATCCCTATCTCGAGACTTCACGGTGAGTTGCCTTTCAAGCTATTATGTAGCAGCTAGAGTCTCCCTTATGTTTTATTTTTTTGTCTATTTCCTTTCAGACAGTAAGCTAGTGTTATTTGTATATTCTACTAGATTTCCCACATGCTTGTGACACCAGGTCTTGGAACACACACTAGTAGACTTATGATTTTGGATTTGTTTACATGATTACGATTTGTACTCGTTTGCTTCCGTTTAATTATGTCACATTCGCAAATTTCTAAATCTCTTTAACAAATAAGGAAATGTTATCTACTTAGTATTTTATTTAAATGGGAACCATTGGTTTGATTAGAGACTAACAATGGTGTTAGGCGCCATTGCGACTGAAGATGGAATTGGGTTGTGACACGTTCCCAGAAGATTTATTTCATATTTGAAGGCCCATCGGATTATTGGGAAGGGTTGTTTATCTTATTTGGGCTTTGTGAAGGATGTTGGTGTTGATACTCCTAGTATTGATTTTGTTCCATTGGTGCGAGATTTCCCGAATGTTTTTCCTGCAGACTTGCCGAGCATGCTACCTAACAGGGATATAGACTTCGGTATTGACTTGGTACCGTGCACTCAACCCATTTATATTCCACCGTATCGTATGGCACCGATTGAGTTGAAGCAATTGAAGGAGCAGCTTCAGGAGCTTCTTGATAAGGAGTTTATTAGGATTAGTGTGTCACCTTGGGGTGCACCTATTCTATTTGTGAAGAAAAAGTATGGTACTATGCGGATATTCGTTGATTACATACAGTTGAACAAAGTTACAATCAAGAAAAAGTATCCTTTGCCGCGCATTGATGATCTATTTGACCAACTTCAGGTAGCGAGGGTGTTATTTAGGATTGACTTAAGGTCTGGGTATCACCAGTTGAAGATTCGGGACTCGGATATTCTAAAGACAGCATTCAGGACTTGTAATGGTCATTATGAGTTCCTCGTAAGGTCTTTTGGGCTGACCAACACCCCAGCATCATTCGTGCATCTGATGAACAGTGTATTTCAGCCTTATCTTGACTCGTTTGTCAGTGTTCATTGATGATATTTTGCTGTACTCTCGTATCTAGGAGGAGCATACCTAGTATTTGAGGATTGTGTTGCAGTGGTTGAGGGAGGGGAAGCTTTATGCCAAGTTCTCCAAATATGAGTTTTGGCTTATTTTAATGGCGTTCTTGGGGCACGTGGTGTCCAGTGAGGGGATTCAGGTAGATCTGAAGAAGATAAAGGCGGTTCAGAGTTGGTCCAGAGCATCCTCAGCTATGGAGATTCGGAGCTTTCTCTGCTTGGCAAGTTATTATCGTCATTTCGTGGAGGGTTTCTCGTCTATTGCTTCGCCATTGACCAAATTGACCCAGAAGGGTGCTATTTTCAGGTGGTCGGATGAGTGTGAGGAGAGCTTTCAGAAGCTCAAGAATGCCTTGACCACCGCTCCAGTTCTAGATTTGCCTTCAGCTTCAGGCTCTTATAAAGTCTATTGTGATGCTTCTCTGATTGGTATTGGATGTGTCTTGATGCAGAAGGGTAGAGTGATTGCTTATTCTTTGCGTCAATTGAAGCCTATGAGAAGAACTACCATGTCCATGATTTAGAGTTGGCTGCCATCGGTCATGCATTAACGATTTAGAGGCATCATCTATATGGTGTGTCTTGTGAGGTGTTTATAGATCATCGCAGTCTCCAGCACTTGTTCAAATAGCAGGATCTAAATTTGATGCAGCGGAGATGGTTGGAGCTGCAAAAGGACTATTATATCACTATTATATATCTTCCCGGGAAGGCCAATATGGTGGCCGATGCCTTGAGCAGAAAGGTGGTGAGTATGGGTAGCCTTGCATTCATTCTTGTTGGCGAGAGACCTCTTGCAGTTGATGCTTAGGCCTTGGCCAACCAGTTCGTGAGATTAGATGTCTCGAAGCCCAGTCGGATTCTAGCTTGTGTGGTATCTCGATCTTCCTTATATGATCGCATCACAGAGCGCCAATATGATGATCCTTATTTGCTTGTCCTTTAGGACACGGTCCAGCACGGTGATGCCAGAGATGTTACTATTGGGGATAATGGGGTATTGAGGATGCATGGCCGGATTTGTGTGCCTAATGTAGATAGGCTACGTGTGTTGATTCTTAAGGAGGCCCACAGTTTGCGGTATTCCATTCATCCGGGGGACGCGAACATGTACCAGGACTTGAGGTATCATTATCAGTGGAGAAGAATGAAGAAGGATATAGCAGGGTTTGTAGCTCGGTGCCTCAATGTCAACAGGTGAAGTATGAGCATCAGAGACCGGGTGGATTACTGCAGAGGTTAGAGATTCCAGAGTGGAAATGGGAGCAGATCACCATGGATTTTGTAGTTGGGCTCCCACGGTCTTCGAAGAAGTTTAATGCTATTTGGGTGATTGTGGATCGGCTAACCAAGTCTGCACACTTCATTCTAGTTGGGACTACTTATTATTCAGAGCAGTTGGCTGAGATTTACATCCGAGAGATTGTTTGCCTTCACGGTGTGCTAGTGTCCATCATTTCAGATCGGGGCACGCAGTTTACATCGCACTTTTGGAGTGCCATGCAGCGAGAGTTGGGCACCCAGGTTGAGTCGAGCACAACATTTCACCCTCAGACGGACGGACAGTCCAAGTGCACTATTCAGATATTGGAGGACATGCTATGCACTTGTTTGATTGATTTTGGGGGTTCGTGGGATCGGTTTCTGCTACTCGCAGAGTTTGCCTATAACAATAGTAACCAATCATGCATTTAGATGGCTCTGTATGAGGCTTTGTATGAGAGACGGTGTAGATATCTGGTGGGTTGGTTTGAGCTGAGTGAGGCTAGGCTAATGGGTACGGACTTGTATCAGTATGCTTTGGACAAGGTTAAATTGATTCAGGGGCATCTTCGCACGGCGCAATCTAGACAGAAGAGATATGCCGATAGAAAGGTCCGTGATGTTTCTTACATGGTTGGGGAGAAGTGCTGCCCAAGGTTTCACCCATGAAGGGTGTTTGAAGTTCGAGAAGATGGGCAAGTTAAGCCCTCCGTATATTGGGCCATTTGAGGTACTTTGGAGGATTAGGGAGGTTGCTTACAAGCTTGCCTTGCCACCTAGTTTGTTGAGTGTGCATCTAGTATTTCATGTTTCTATGCTCCGGAAGTATGTTGGCGATCTGTCTCATGTTTTGGACTTTAACACAGTTCAGTTGGATGGTGGTCTGACTTATGATGTGTAGCGGGTGGCCATTTTGGATCGGTAGGTTCGAAAGTTGAGGTCACAAGACATAGCTTCAGTGAAGGTGCAGTGGAGAGGTCCGCCAGCTGAGAAGGCTACTCGGGAGACCGAGCGGGAGATTTGTAGAAGATATCTATACCTATTTGAGACTCCAGGTATATTTCTAGACCCGTTCGAGAATGAACGTTAGTTTAAGAGGGGGACGATGTAACGACCTGGCCTGTCGTTTCGAGATTTGTAGCCCTGTTCCCCCATTTACTATTCATTTTGTACTTTATAGTTATTATGTGACTTGCCAGGGTCATCGGTTCGGGTCCGGAGAGATTTTAGAATGATATGAGACACTTAGTCTCAAGTTTGAAAACTTATGTTAAAATGATTGACCGGATGTTGATCTATGTGTTAACGACTCTGAAATAGAGTTTTGATGGTTCTGTTAGCTCCTTTGGGTGATTTTGGACTTAGGAGCGTGTCTGGATTGTGATTTAGAGGCCCGTAGTGGAATTATGCTTGAAATGGCGAAAGTTGAAATTTGTAAAGGCCTGTAGTGGATTCCGATTCCGGAAGTTGGATTAGATCGGTGGTGTCATTTGTGACTTGTGTGCAAAATTTTGGGTCAATCGGACGTGATTTGATAGGTTTCGACAACATTCGAAGACATTGAAAGTTCAAAGTTCATTAGGCTTGAATCTATGTGCGACTCATGTTTTTGATGCTGTTCGTGGTGATTTGAGGTCTTGACTAAGTGTGTATCGTGTATTAGGACTCGTTTGTATGTTTGGTTGAGGTCCCGGGGGCCTCGTCTTGATTTCGGATGGTTAGCGGATCGAAAAAGGGACTTAGTGCATTGCTGAAGCTAGAGCTCTTCTAGTATGATCGCACCTGTGAGGGGTTGGCCGCAGGTGCGAGGGGTTAACTGCATCTGCGAGCCCGTAGGTGCGAGCGAGGGTCCACAAATGCGGAGTTGAGGGAGAGGCATGTTTCCACATAAGCAAATACAAGGCCGCAGAAGCAACTTCGTAGGTGCGAAACTTGGAGCGTAGATGCGGGCCTGGGGGGTTTAAGTGATTTCCGCAGAAGTGGAGGATTTACCGCAGGTACGGATATTTGGCCGCATGTGCAAAAGGCCTGGGCAGAATGTTTAAAAACAAAAGTTCGCGATTTTGGCTTCATTTTAACATTTTGCGCTCTGGTTTTGGCTATTCTTGAGAGGATTTTCGAGGGGATTCTTGAGGTAAGTCCATTGTGCTCGTTTTGATCCATAATCTTGTTTCGACATTGATTTTTCCCCCTAGTTGGTGTGTATTTAAGGTGTAAATTGGGGGTTTGAGGCTAGGGATTTGGAGGGTTTGATTTGGGGATTTGGGTGACGACTTATGACAAAATTGGTATGGTTGAACTAGTTGTTAGATGGGCTTTCGGGTATTGTGACTTTTGTCGGGTTTCGACGCATGGGCCCGGGGGAAGCTTTGAGTTGATTTCTGATTTTTGATTAATAACTTCGTGTTTTTCGAGTAAAATTGATTCCTTTAGCCCATGCTAATTGTATTGTACTGTTTGTGGCAAGATTCGGGACATTTGGAGGCCGATTTGTGAGGCAAAGGTGTGTTGGAGTAGAGATTTGCTCAGATTAAGGTAAGTAAGAGTTCTAAATCTGGTTCTAAGGGTCTGAAACCCCGGATTATGTGACATGTGAATGGTTTTGAGGTAACATGCATGCTAGGTGACGGGCGTGTGGGTGCACACCGTAGGAACTATGACTATGTCAAATTCCATGAAACTGTGTAGTTGAATAATCTGTTGTTATCTGTACATTCTCCATGTATTAGAGAAATTGAACGACAAATCATGTTAGAAATCAATTTTAGACTACGTGTTGGCACTGTAGGGAGCCACAGAGGTCGTGTACATGTTGAATTATCTGCTAAATTGCTGTTTGTACTCAATCATAGTTGATTTGTTCATTATTGATGCGTCATATCATTATTGTCTGGGTTGCTTATCATGCTTTCTGAGAGCCCGATAGACTGGAGAGGTTGATGACTGAGTGAGGCCGAGGGCCTGATTGTGAGGATGTTTATTTGATCGGGCTGCACGCCGCATCATGTTTCACTAATATATTCCATGATTGGCTTGTTACAGCGCTTGGGCTGAAGGAGCCCCTCCGAAGTCTATACACACCCCAAGTGAGCGCAGGTACCTACTGAGTGCGAGTGCTGAGTGCCGAGTGCTGAGTGATTGAGAGGAATGAGTGATTGTGAGGAAAGAGTGATTGTAAGGTTGGAGTGTGTGGGAGGACTGCTTCACTGTTCCCCTGAGAGGATGCATTTGACTTTTATTTCTATTGCACTTCAGTTTCCATATATCACTGTCTTGAAATTTCTGAGAGATATTATCTTCAATTTCAGTTGTACTCGACATGAATTAACTGCTTTGGCCTTAATTGTCGAACTTGAAAAGATTTCTACTTTCCTATGTTAAGATTACTGAAAATGAACTATAATGGTAAAGCTCGTCACTACTTTTAGTTCTTTATTTAGTCTTGTTACCTACTGAGTTGGTTGTACTCACGCTACACCTTGCACTGCCTAGCGTTTCGCAGACCTTGTCCCTCCTTCCCTATCTTTCTGCTTATTGTATTTAGTTTCACACTATTATAGACTGTGTTTTCCGGACTTGTGATGTATAGATGCTCATGTACTCTGTGACACCCCAATAGTTGGGAACTTCCACGTTGTGTTTTTGGTTTCTATCACTGTTTATGAGAACTTTTATTGTTAAAGATATTTTAGTTTGTTTTCTGTTAGAAGTGTTGGAAATATTTTTGAAATGTCAGCTTGCCTAGTGGCACGATAGGCGCCATCACAATAGGTTACGATTTTGGGTCGTGACATTATAATATCCGACTCTATGTCTCTCTCTTCCCCTCCACATGACTAAAGGGGAAAATGGGTATGTATTTTGAACTGAACTAAAACTGTATCCCCTAGAGTTGAATTGAATATTTGCTAAGTGATGATGCCACTAGTTGGGAGAAACAACCATTGATTGACTCATCCTTCTTTCTGCTTAGGTTTTACATCTAAACTTGTCATGACCCAATTTATCCTATAGGCGGTGATGGCGTCCAACGTCGCATCTAGACAAGACAACGGTGAACTAACTACGTGATTACTCCTTTTAATATGTTTCCAAGTAATTAAATTCTATTTATTAAGAGATTTAAGAAGTAGAAAGTTTAATAAATAAAACGAAAGCAACTAAGTGAGATCATAGATATATAAGTACTCCAAAACCATAAAGTCTACTAGAATGTGTACCAAGGCCTGGTGTCACAAGTATATGAGCAGTAGTAGAATATACAAAACACTAACTACCGTCTGAAATAAAATAGACAGAAAATAAATACAAAAGAGAGGCTCTAGGTGCTGCAGAACGGCTCAAGAAGCAGCTCACCAGTAGGCCTCAGGGTATCGGGGATGTGCGTCGGTGTGACAGCCAGATGCACCTGCCTCAGATCCTGCACGGTTAGTGCAGAAGTGTAGCGTGAGGACATAAACAATATGTACCCACTAAGTATCAAGTCTAAAATCGAAGAAGTAGTGACGAGGGGTCGATATCGACACTTACTATGGGCTAACAGTAAAGAAACTTACTATAAAGTCTAAGCATAGGTTATGTAAATAATAATAATAACTCAATAATAAGCAGGAGGTAAAGTAAATAATTATTTCACACATGGTAAGTCAAAAATAAATTTTTCTCTTATATAATTTTAGCCCCTCAAGCCAGGAAAAGATATCAAATATATAATTAAACTTCAAGTTTTATCACGAATGATTATGCCGAGGTCGTACGGCCAGATCCAAAATAATGTGTACACTATCGAGGGTCGAGCGACATGAACCATACATGCATCTATCTATTGCCGAGGCATTCGGCCCGTTCCGCAAGAAGAGAGGATACTTTATAAACAACCGATTTAAGAAATAATACAAGGCTAATGTACAACGAAACACAATTTTTATTAACGGTCTACTATCTCGCCAAAACTCACGTAAGTGAAATTCGGTCTTTTACAATTCCTCTATCAAGTTCCAATATAATTTAGGCACTTTAATTAACATGTAGGGTGCAAACATTACAAGTATTTCATGACCCGGGTCTTAAACTACCTGGACATAAGCATAGTTAGTAGCTATGTACGAAATCTTATCACCTCTTGCATACATAACCCCTACAATTAGAAGCAAATAGCAATTTAAAGCACATATGGGGTAAATTCCATTTTACAAGGTTAGGTAAGAGACTTACCTTGTCTCGAAACTCGATACGAACGTACGCCCAAGTCCAAAATCATCATACGAACCTATTGGGACCGTTAAATCCCGATTCCGAGGTCGTTTACTAGAAACATTGAACAAAGTAAAACTTAGCCCCTTTAAAGCCAAACTAAGGAACTAAGTATTCCTATTTCAACCCGAACCATTCCAAATCCCGAACTAATCATCCACGTGAGTCATAAAACGGTAAAAGTACATACGTGGAGTCTTATTTAGGGGAACAGGAATCTAGGAAGCAAAACAATCGGTCGGGTCGTTACATTCTCCACCTTTTAAACAAATATCCATCCTCGAAATGGTCTAGAATCATACCTCGAGTGCTGACTAGGTGTGGATATCTACTTCGCACGTCCTCCTCGGCCTCCCTAGTCGCCTCCTCGATTGGTTGGCCGATCCATTGAACTATTACCTCATAAATTTTCTTGG